GCTGAAGCAAAATGCAGGATAATGTAGCACTTTAAAGACTAACAAGATGGTTTATTAGATGATGAGCTTTCGTGGGCCAGACCCACTTTTTGATCTGAGGAAATGGGTCTGGCCCACGAAAGCTCATCATCTAATAAACCATCTTGTTAGTCTTTAAAGTGCTACATAGTCCTGTATAGGTCAGAAAATGTGTTACATGGGATGGATAGATGCATCTGCACAAATAAATGTATATGTATACATATTTATTTTCATATATGTTATATATTATCTATATCTATTGTATTAGTACACACACAATACATACATATATAACATTTTCTGTGATAAAGTTTTTACAGCTTATCTTAGTATGAAAATAGAGTGTGGGCAGCCCTGTAAGAGGCAGTAGACTGAGATAATACTTTTTAAAGTCAGAACTGATGCTCGGAAAAATCACAAAGGCCAGAGGTCAGAAGCTTAATTCTCTGGTTTTTGCCAACTCAGCTCCACGCTAAACTTTTCCTTGTTTTTACAAAACTTGTACTAGGAAGCTTTTTTCCCCCTCCAGCATAAAAGTAAATGCCTATGCTGAATGACAGCAGTTTAAATGAAATTTAAAGCAACTTTAATACCAACTTGAAACAACAAAACAAAATTAAGGTGGTGTTTTCCGTTCTTAGCATGTCAGTATAGCTTTCTTTAGCCTGGCTTTTTTTTAAGCAATTGCTTGTGGACTAAATTTTGGAGTAAATTTTTTAAAATTTGGGATTTGCATCCAGATCATCAGTTAGGAGCCTAAATAAATAAATGAAAAGGCTTAACTGAAAGCAGTCTTAAAATCAGATGGCACCCTATCTAGAAACTCTAGAAATTGGGTGTCTGTTTGAAAGTCGTCATCTTCAAAAACTCTGTGCCGTAAACAAGCAAATGCTGCACTGGCACAGCTCAGATGACGTTGCATTGCTACATCAATATCTGCCTTGGATGAAAGATAACTTCCAAGATAGAGAAAATGATCCGCATTCTCCCATGCCTCTCCATTGATTTTAATAGATGGGGCATATGGTATCTCACTTGGAGAGGGCTGATGGAGCACTTTTGTCTTCTTGATGTTGAGGGTGAGACCCAGGCATGCATAAGCATCAGCAAATACAGTCAAGATAGCCTGAAGATCTTTGTCAGAGTGGGCAAAAGCTGCATTGTCATCAGCTGAACTGAAGTTCCACAATAGATGTGGTAGAAATCTTACTCTTAGCTTTCAGTCTCCTGAGCTTAATCAGTTTTCCATCCATTCTGTAGACGATTTCAACACCAGCTGAGAGCTTCCTAGCAATTAGGTCGAAAATGACGGCAAGAAAGACTGTGAACATGGTTAGGGCGATGGTACGGCCCAGTCTGACCCGTTTGTACTTTGAAAGGTTCATTCTTGGAGCCAGGGCTGCTCAGAACAGTAACTTCCATGTTCTCATGAAGCAACTTTAGGAAATCGATATGTTATCAGGACGGCTGACCTTCGAAAGACCAGTCCAAAGGGCAGGCACTGAATGTCACCACACGCTGACATGTCATCTGGCAGAGAGCAGAGCCGTCCCGTCCATAGGACGGTTTGGGGCAGCTCCACAGGTCCCGCGCTATGGGGGGCTCTGTGATAGCCACCTCAGTCGTCCTATGGATGAGACTTGGGGGTTCACAGGCATCTGGGGGATTACTGTGGGCCTGGTGCAGGGCAGCAGCAGCCTGCTGTGCCCCTCCCCACCGCCCTCTCCCAGCCCTGTGTGCTCTGCTTCCCTGCCCCCATGCTGAACTGGAACAGCTGCCTGGGAGGACAGCAGGGCAGAATGGAGCAGGCTGCCATGAGTGCGAGGCAGGGGTGATCCCTGCTGCTGCCCCGCACAACCCCGGATTGCATTCTTCTGGGAGGGGGCTTCCAGTAAGCAGGTGGAGCAGGGGTGGGAAGGGGCATGGCAGCTAGAGCAGGGGTGGGACTTGGGGGAAAGGGCGGAGTGGTGTGGGGCCTGTTGTGGGGGTTGCCCTGGGCCCTGCGCCTAGGGCACTGTGCAGAGGTTTCCCCAGGCCCCGTGTCCCCCTAGAGCCGGCTCTGGTAGCCAGGCACAGGCCACGTAGGTGATAGATTGAAAGCAGCCCCTCAGTTCTGCCAGGACATTATAGCGCCACCCTTGCTACTCTACCAATATAGCAATATAGCCCTTGCATGGTGATGGGAATGGGGGTGGTGGACAGCCCGGGGTGTGCTGAAAACGTAGGCAAGAGCCACTCCCCACCTGTTTCTCGGGGTGTAGAAATCACAGTCAGATTTCTCAGGAAGGTCCGTTCACACACACTAAGGCAGCATTCCTGAAAACCTCAGCCTGGGCTGGCTTCCACAGTCTCCCACCCGCCAGGCAGTGATGCTAGTACCGCTCGGCTTTCAAGGAGTTTGGATGGATTCCACGGCTCTGCTGACTGGGCTGGAAATTGTAACCATGCAAAGCAGCCAGCCTATGGTGAACAGGGGCTCCCTTTAAGTCGATGCCCTGAGGGGAGGGATAGGAGAGGTAGGTGTTTAAACAGCTTTTCACCAGCGAGCCAGCAAAATGAATTAACAGACAATGCCTGGCATTGAGGGGCTTAGTCTATTGTAAACAGGTTTTTTCAAGCCACAAAGAATTACTGCCAAGCAGGACTAATTGCAGGAGAGCGAGAGAGAGGAAAGATCCCCACTGAAATAGGAAATGCACTTTAACAAGCAGCTAGGCTGGGATGCCAAGTGTGGAATCTGAAATGGGCACAACAGTCCATATTGCACAGTCTTCTTTCCATTAACTACCGCTGATCAAATTCTCTCTCCTGGAAAGTGGGGCACTGGCCTTTCTCTACAAAAACCGTTTTACCCTTGGGTGGAGGCCACATGAATTAACGATTAGTGGTCTGTGTTCCTCCAACTCAGTACCAAATAGCCTCATTTTACTGTCGCAGGCTGTGTAAATAACAAGCAGACTTGTGTTCAGTAATCAGACCTCTTCTGAGTTTATCAGACTTGTCCAAGTGTCTAATTCTATGGGAGGTAGGTCAGTTACTCATGGAGTTCTTCAGGGATCAATCTTAGCACCGATCTTATTTAACATTTTTATTACTTACCCTTGGCACAAAAAGTGGGTGTGCGCTAACAAAATCTGCAGATGATACAAAGTTGGGAAGTATTACCAATATGGAGGAGGACCAGAATATCACATGAGAAGACCTGGAGGACCTCGTAAAGTGGATGAATAGAAATGGGATGAAATGTAATATTGCAAAGTCCGGCAATAAGGGATTATCAAGAAGAATATTTTCTATTAGCAATGGGTATGTCAGTCAGAAGAACAAAGGATGGGTCTTGGGTCACTTAAGGTTTAAATTAGTGTCAATGGTGGCTTCTCTGAATCTTGAAGTCTTCAGTTTTTCAGGAATTCAGTTTTTCTTCACACAACATACAGTCAACCTGTGGAACTCCTTGCCAGATGATGTTGGGAAGACCAGGACTTGAATAGGGTTCAAAAAAAGAACTAGATAAATTCATGGAGGATAGATCCATCGATATTTATTAGCCAGGATGGGTAGGTATAAAATGGAAATCGCAAGCAGACAGCTGTTAGTCCCTTTGTTTAGTTTTAACTCTGGAAGATGCTCGGATATAAAGGTGATGAATCTGGTGTAAGATCCTGAACAGAGAGAACGAGAGTGATAACTGGGTTTACAATCAGAATCTTATGGATACGGAGGGTGGGAGTGGGGAGGGGGACTCTGCAGATGTCTTTTCTCGTCCTGGAATTGCCTAGACTGCCTGTGTCATCTTGGACAAATTACCTAATTTTCCTGCCTCAAAGTCTCCATTTGTCAAGTGGGGAGAGAATCATAGAATAGAATCATAGAATCATAGAATATTAGAACTGGAAGGGACCTTGAGAGGTCAAGTCCAATCCCCTGCCCTCACGGCAGGACCTAGCACCATCTAGACCATCCCTGACAGGTGTCTGTCCAACCTGCTCTTAAATATCTCCAGTGATAAAGATTCCACAACCCCCCTAGGCAATTTATTCCAGGGTGTAACCATCCTGACAGGAAGTTTTTCCTAACGTCCAACCTCAACCTTCCTTGCTGCAGTTTAAGTCCATTGCTTCTTGTCCTGTCCTCAGAGGCCAAAGAGAACAATCTTTCTCCCTCCTCCTTGTAACATCCTTTTAGGTACTTGAAGACTGCTATATGAGAACTACTTAGAGACTGTGGTGATGAGCACCCCAGAAAAACCAACAACTCAGTAACAGAATCTTCACTACCTATGGCCTCACACTAGGGACAGACAGGGCATGCTGGTTCTGAGATGATGGATTGTTGACAACATTCGGATGGCCATTTGAAACACAATCCAATGGTGTAAAGCATCAGAGGGGTAACCGTGTTAGTCTGAATCTGCAAAAGCGGCGAGGAGTCCTGTGGCACCTTATAGACTAACTGAAGTGTAGGAGCATAAGCTTTCGTGGGCAAAGACCCACTTCGTCAGATGCATGGAACTTCTTAGTAACTCTGCCACTCTGTACCTCAGATATTCCCAAACTATTAGTTTTAATTCCATCCACTGACACTGGAAAGGGATTAATTGATGTTGTTTTGGGTTGTGAGTGTCATTTCCCGCAGGCGTCGTGCAAACATCCAAAGAACAAAACACAATTCTGGCTCACAGAGAACCTGAGCTCTGGGAAATATTACTCAGCATGCATATTTTTGTACATCAGTTGTATGGGGAGGAAGAGTCCTGTCCTGCTAGAGAGATAACACGCAAAGTTACATATCTCAGCACAGGGCGGAGCTGACTGACTCAGACCTGGATCAAGATGCCCGTGAGCCTATTTCCTTACGCAAGCAGCCCGGGAGGCACAAAACCCAATGGCACTTTGTATTCTGTCAGCCGAATACAGATTTTGTTCAAAGCTTGTATTAACAGTTATGTTATTTCTGTGTCCCCCTTCTCTCTCCTGCAGCCTTCATCTGTGAGCGGGACCGCCTCACATTCAGTTTTTGTCAAACCCTAAGGATTCTGGGAAGATGCCACCTTCCAACTGTCAATGTGCAATGCTGCCGAACCTGCCGCCAGCATGGCCACAGTGCTCGGGATCGTGGGAATGAACGTGCCTCCAGGAGGTGAAACCATTTAAGTCGAAGGACCCTTTATGGGAAAGGGGAAAATAGAGCTTTAGAAGCTTTAAGAGAACATACATCATGCAGTGAGCAAAAGGAATCCCATGAAACTAGGTTTTGCCACATGGTCTGTTCATATTGCAATACAGAATGTTGCTACAGGTTCCTACACTGGGGATTTTGTATGGTGCTCTTTAAAAAAACAGGGATTTCTTTTTTTAAAAAACTACAATACGTGGTGCTCAAATGATCAGTCTGAAACTCAGCACCTGACTTTCACTAGACAGCACCGAAAGCCCTACTAGTTACCATGGAGAAATGTGCTGTTTCTTAGCAAGTAGATGAAAACAGATACAATTTTCCGTATCTCGTGTTACGCCTAATGGCAAACAATCTACAAGAGAACATTTTAGGAAACAGAAACGTAAAATAGCAAACATTTTGGGGAGCTCTCTCTAAAAGGTTTATGGTGCTATCATGTGACATTTTTGGCTTTTGGTTGGTGTTGGCAGGCCAACACAAAACTCTTGACCAAGTGACTTTGTATTATTAATAATAATTATTATTTTATATACATGAGCATCTACCATTCCAAACAGTGTAGCTTTTGTTTCTTCTTTTTTTTTTTTTTCCTTTTTTCCTTCAGGGACACAAAGCTGGCAACCCCCTTTTATAATTTACATAAAAATGTTTACAAATTTACGTTAGCGCTACATAATGTAAGAAACCGAAACAGATCAGAGTGAGCAAGGAAGAAAAACACCTGCACTAGTCATTATCACCAAGGGGATTAGGACACTGCCCAGGTATTCCTTACCCTTTTGATGCTGAATCTGATTTTCTGTGTAAAAGTGATTGAACCTCTGAGCATGTTTTGAAGGAAGGTAGAGGGGTGAGGACATCCAAATCCATGAATGAAGAGATAAATTTACATTGGAGGGAAAATGTCATTGCCTCAGCATATAATTTGCAAAGAAGCCATTCATGAACAATGTATTAAAACACAGCATCTACTGCTATTTTACTTTCTCCACATTATTCCTCTGGAAGGCACGAATGACAAATGGGATTGTTAAAGGCACAATTGGATTCATGCATGTGATTACAACACTTTGTATACGTTTGGTGGTTAGTTAAGATTTTTTCTTTGTTTCTACAAATTTAAAAATCTTCCTTCTGCTTATTTAGCTTGACTTTTGATAAAGTTAGTTGATTCTTTTAACTAGGCTGTCTAATATTGTACAAGGAAAGGGTACCTCATTAGCAAGGCAGACATTGTTCTAATCTGTCAGTGGTCCAACACTGACTGTATGTTAATCCCTCTACACTACAGTGGTCATGTAGCTGCAGACAACGTATCTTAAATTGCATTTCTGCATCGTCCACATGGTGGGAGGCCAATGAGAGCAAATACTCCCATTGGCTTCCCGTACTCCTCGTGAGGAGCAGGACTACCAGCGCCAAAGGAGGCACCCTCTGAGTTTGATTTAGTGGGTCTATACTAGACCTGCTAAATTAAACCCCAGAAAATTGACCATGTCAGTGTCGATCTTCTGTGTAGTGTAGACATGCCCCCAGTGTATTACGAAGGACTTATTATCCTGGTTCCTAGAACAAGGTCCAAAACATATTGATAAAACTTAATTCGTATGTTACTCTTTAGGATACAAGGAAAGACCAAATAATTGGAGATAATGAATAAAATCCTACTTGCACTAAAGTAAATGAGATTTTGCCATTGATTTTAATTGAAGTAGGATTGAACCCCATATCACTTAAATGATATTACAATTGTACAGTCCAGAATAAGTAACCCTTTTTTTTAGTGCCATCTTCTTTTGTACTGTGTGAAGCCACTTTCACTACAATTGCCAAGAGGACAAGGGAATTCCTGTGCATAATTTGTAAGTAAACTGCAGCCCATCACTTTACCAGCTGCATTTTGTTTCTTTCCAAGCAGATGTAAATGTTTTATATTTAAAGAGATTGTGTACGTTCCTGTTTGATTTCCCAGCTATAGCGCCATCCCTCCCATGCAACATTTTGCTGCATTCATCAGGGCTCTAAGATTTTACTAAGAAATAGTTTCCATGTTCGTTGGTTTTTAAATGGCTGTAGCTCAAAAGTATGTTAATTTAAACTGTTACCAAAGGAAATGTAATGTTTGCAGATTTCTCTGTTTGCTCTCTATTCTAATAATTTTTCATTAGAAACCCCATAGAGAAAGTTTATGTACCATGATAGCGCTAGTTACCTAGCAACAGCCCTCTGATCTGTAGCAAAAAATAACAAATCAGGACACTTCTGAAACTCCTTTGAGGCTGCCCATAGAAATGATTATTAATTTTGTGATTAAAATATAAAGCAGATATGTGCCCATTTGTGGTAAAAATATTCAAATGTCCAAGTGGCTTAGGACTCTCTTTAACTTCAAAGTAACTTAAGTGCTTTCACACATTTTATCCTGGTTCCAGACAGCTTATTTTCCAAGATGGTCCAAATTTCAGAGAGACTCAGGGTGTCCAAAACACAGATGACTAACATTTGGCTCATTTGCTAATTTTGATACTTTGAAGAGCGTAAGCACCTTACTTGGAATCTAGATGGTCACACTCCAACAGAATTATGGAAATTCTTCTTTAACAATAGGTGCATTTCTATATATCCGAAGGTGAAAGGAAGGTTTGATGTCAGTTGTGACTGGTTCGGGTAATCAAGATGCCATGAAACTTATATTTGTAAGTTGCTGCTGATGAAAAGAATTCGAGAGTAAAAAAGACCCCTTTTCTCAATGGTGCCCACATCCCATGCCTCTAGCAGGAAGGAACCCGTCATGATGAATCCTTCACAATCATTTTGTTTTTATTTATCCTGGAGAGTGCTCACAAAGCTGCAGCGATCCTCTCCATGAGAGCTGTGAAACTTGCCTTTCCACATGCGATGCTCTGTTACATGATCATCCTTTTATTTTCCTTAATATGCGAGCAGATTCAGTGAATCAAGAAGGCAGCCTTCAAAACTCTGGGCTACTCAATTGACAAGGGCATTGTATAAGCAAATATTGGAACAGAAGTATTAATTCAATTACATTTCATTGAAGCATCGTGTCAAACCAGCCGACATCTGCACACCGAGTTACAGCAGAAATGACTGTATACACCCTACAAAACTATTCCTACAGCACATTCTAATTCAACGTCAGTAGAGAGAAAACACCACTGGGGTTCAGAGTGAAACCAGCAGACTATGGAATGTTTTTAATTCTGGGTGATGTGTGTCGTTATAGGTACTCTTGTTTGTACCTATATAGACAGTTAGGAGCTCCCTGTTAAATCACAGACTGATTGGCATGGTGTGTATGCCTTAATTGTTTGCCCTTCTTTGTTGCCTTTTGGAGGTCAGTTCACATTCGCGACAAGGTAGAGCAGATTGCTAGAGCAATTTGGTATCTCTGCTAGCACACAGATGGCACTTCTTCAGCATGCAGAGTTGTATAGGCCTCCCCTTATCTAGCCTCAACCATTCCACACCTCTGTCAAAGCAGACAGCAGTATCTTGGTGCTAAACTTAGCCTAAGAACTCAGGTGCTAGCCTGTAGCTATCCAGAAGGATTTAAATGCCTGAGAATGATCTGTGCTGAGTGTATGAACTACATGTGCCAAATGGGTCCATTACATACTTGAGTGAAGAGGCACTGGGAACCCCTTGGGTGGTAACAGCCTAAGCTGGTTGTCGCAGCTACACTGAGCATAACGGCTGTTTGTCTGGCCCAAATATTACAAAGATCATAGTTCTTTTCTACTGGAAACATTTGTGCTGTGCCCAAAGGCAACCATGGATCAAGATCTCATGACACCGATGCAGATGATACCAAACTGGGTGGGGTTGCAACTTCTTTGGAGGATAGGAACATAATTCAAAATGACCTTAGCAAGTTAGAGAAATGGTCAGAGGTAAACAGGATGAGGTTTAATAAAGAGAAATGCAAAGTGCTCCACTTAGGAAGGAACAATCAGTTCCATACATACAAGATGGGAAGCGACTATCTAAGAAGGAGCATAGCGGAAAGGGATCTAGGGGTCATAGTGGACCACAAGGTGAATATGAGTCAACAGTGTGATGCTGTTGCAAAAAAAGCAAATATGATTCTAGGTTGTATCAACAGGTGTGTGGTAAGCAAAACTCGTGAAGTCATTCTGCCGCTCTACTCTGCACTAGTTAGGCCTCAAATGAGTACTGTGTCCAGTTCTGGGTGCCACATTTCAAGAAAGATGTGGAGAAATTGGAAAGGGGACAGAGAAGAGCGACAAGAATGATTAAAGGTTTAGAGAACATGACCTATGAAGCCAGGCTTCATGAACTGGGCTTGTTTAGTTTGGAAAAACGAAGATTAAGGGGGGACATGATAGTGGTTTTCAAATATCTAAAAGGGTGTCACAAGGAGGAAGGAGAAAATTTGTTTCTCTTGGTTTCTGAGGACAGGACAAGGAGTAATGGGCTTAAAGTGCAGCAGGGGAGGTTTAGATTGGACATTAGGAAAAAATTCCTAACTGTCAGGGTGGTCAAATATTGGAATAAATTGCCAAGGGAGGTGGTGGAATCTCCCTCTCTGGAGATATTTAAGAACAGGTTAGACAGACATCTGTCAGGGATGGTGTAGACAGAGCTTGGTCCTGCCTTGAGGGCGGGGGGCTGGACTCGATGACCTCTCGAGGTCCCTTCCAGTCCTATTATTCTATGATTCTATGATGCCTCTTTCAGCCAGGCCTATGAAAGGGGGGGGAGGGAAGTCATGCTAAAAACTTTGCTCTCACTAACACTCTGTGTTGCCAGTGATGTTTGTAATTTTTCAGTAATGGAAATAAGGCAGAGCTGTGGAACTGTCTGGACACTGGCAGAGCAGGCCCTACAGAAACGCTCCAGCAGCTGAGGCAAAGCCATACACGTGCCTTGGTCTTACAGAGTTTAAGACTTGTTCCCATAATTAGAACTAGGGCTACGTCTACATTGCGCATTCTTGCACAAGAAGATATGCAAATGAGGCATGGCGATGAATATCACCGCACCTTATTTGCATACCTAATAAGCTGCCATTTTGTGCAAGGGGCTTTTGCGCAAGAAGGAGCAGTTTGCACAAAACCTCTTCTTGTATAAGAGCTGTTCTGCCACTTGTTTTCAGGCAGAACGGCTCTTGTGCAAGAGGAGATTTTTGCTCAAGAAGGAGCAGTGTAGACTGCTCCTTCTTGTGCAAAAGCCTCTTGCGCAAAATGGCGGCTCATTAGGTATGCAAATGAGGCACGGCAATATTCATCGTCACACCTCATTTGCATATCTTCTTGCACAAGAATGCACAATGTAGATGTAGCCTAAGAGTCACCAAATGAAATTAATGGGTAGCAGGTTTTAAACAAAAGGAAGTCAACCTGTGGAACTCCTTGCCAGAGGATGTTGTGAAGACTAGGACTTTAACAAGGTTCAAGAAAGAACTAGATAGATTCATGAAGGTTAGGTCCACCAAGGGCTATTAGTCAGGATGGATAGGAATGGTGTCCCTAGGCTGTCTGGAAATGGGTGACAGGAGAGGGATCACGTGAGGATTCCGTGTTGTGTTCACTCCATCTGGAGCATCTGGCACTGGCCACTGTTGGCAGACAGGACACTGGGCTGGATGGACCTTTGGTCTGACCTAGTGTGGCTGTTCTTATGTTCAAGCCTCTGCAGGACATGATGACAAAATGCACCCCGACAACAGGAGAGATGGGAGAGCTTTGTGTACCAGGCATTCTAGCGCAATAGCATCCTTCTGGCAGAGTTTCACAAAACTATTCATGCAGCAAAACTCTCACTGCCCTGTGCGCTCGGTCACAGCTGGAAGCCATGTAGGGGGCGATCAGGTGTCCCTTGGTAATCCGACACAAGACCGGGCTTGCCTTTCCAGAGAGAGACCGCTAAACAATTAAACTAGTGTTACATCAGGGAACGCAGCTGGAAAACGCGTGGGTGCAGCAGAGCCGGTGGTAGGCATAAGCAAAGTGAGCAATTGCATAGGGCTCTGAGCAGCTCCAGGGGACCTCTCAGCCACTTTTTAGTATATATTGCAGGAGAGGGACACAAAATATTCCTGCTCAGGGCCCCTAATAGGCTAGCACTGTCTCTGAGGTGCAGCTTACTAGCTGTCATGGGCGGTAGGTGAAGGAGATCTACAACGACACTGCTTCCAGGAGCACAGCCATACCTCCCCCCTCTTCTGCTCCACAAGCGCCAAGCTGCCCCTGCAACACCACGGGGAGGGAGGAGGATGTGCGGTCCCAGCTTCCCTGGCCCAGAACACGGGGAGGGCGGGCGCTGGAGAGCAGCAACACTCTGCCCCCAGTATGCCTACAGCAGGCATTCTGGGGGTGGCGAATGGGTGGAGCAGGCTGGCGGCTTGGGACGGCAATGCCTTCCCCCCATGATATCCGCCACCCCGTGTCAGGGTGAACACTCCCAGTCTTGACCAGCTGCTGCTGCCTGGGGACGTGAGGGGGGAGGTATGGCCGTGCTTCTGGAAGCAGTGTCATTGTAGATCTCCAGTTCCATGCTGTGGTCCAAATTGTGCCTCGTGAGGCTGGAGGGTTGATATGGGCTTATCAACGAAATAAGGGTTTAGAGATCCAAGCAGCCTCCCCGGGGAGGGGCACTATTTCTACATTCTCCAGGGGAGAGAGGAAGAATGAGGAGAAAAAGGAGTTAGGCCAATAAAAGAAATTACCTCACCCCCCTTTTCTCTACAAGGCGGTTAGCCTCTGGCCTCTGCTCCTCCCTCTAATAATCTCATCCCGTACAAGCGCTCCCAGAAGCACCATGGAAATCAAACCTCACTCAAAAAATCAAACTCCAGGCCCTCTGTAGGGATCTGTTCCAAGCTAATGTAGGTGAATATTTCAAGAGCTATAAACCACAAAATGTTTTAGAGGCTCTGTGTATCCGGATTGGAGCTGTGCGCCTTAGAAATACAACTAGTTCCAGCTGTCACAATACTCAACTTGGAGATCACTGTGTGGTTTCAGTGGGGAAAAAATGGTGAAGTCAAATTCCAGGCACTCAAATTGTGAGCAGTTGGAACTAATTTAACACTACCACCCCCAAAAAAATACATCTACTAATCTAGCTTTACAGATCAAAACCATGCTAGAAACCCAGTAGACATTCCTAGAGGGTACTTAAGATGCTGCAAGGCAGTTTATCTGCTTTAAACTACTGTAGGAGGGTTCCATAATGTACAGGATTTTCATTTGGTTTCCAAACACACAAGGTATACATCCCAGGCGCATCCAAATAAAAACGTATAGTAACACAGGAGATGTTTGTAGTGATCTGAAATATTGAG